TTGCTAACAGAATGCTATAACCGAAGAGCACTTGCTTTGCGGTTCTTTATTCCATGCGGAGACTTTCGAATTATTTCCATTCTTCAGGCTTTCTTCTAGACTTGGAAGGTAACCGTAAGCATGAGTAGTGGCAGTTGAAATTTAATCAAGATCGAAGCAAGCAGAGACGACTTGACTGTATTCACACTGGTAGATACAGATGGGTGTGCATTAGTGTTTGAGTCTACTGCACAGGGAGAAATGAATATTTGAAATAATAAAGAGAGAGAAAATTATGTCATTTAGTCTAGGTGCGGACAGCTCGAGCAAATTTCTTGTATGCTCCCTTCAAATTCCAAGTTTTTGCATGAAGTAAATATTCGTTGGAGTTTATCATTGGCGCTATCAATAACCTCCTCATTATTTTGCCTTGTTTCTTCTCAACAAACGCGGATAGCGGAAAAACGCACGCACGCACGTACGTCTGCATAAGGCATACACTAAAATCACGAACTACTTCCACCCTGGCCTTAGCGAAAATCACCACATACCTACATGCACCCCCTCCATTTTGCTAACTGCATTGGGAATAGCGCGAAACGAATGACTCGTGCCCGTTGAAGTAGATCTACAACTTTAGTACCGTGGCCCGCCTCGTCCACTCCCCTCGTGGAAAGTGGGCTTGGGTGTGATTTTCGGGTTAGAGTGAATCGAGTCAAAGGAGTAAGGGAATCACGGAGCTAATGTGGCTAAGTACTCGGTGTGACCGTTTGAGTTGCAGTGAACGAATGATCGGTTGCTAACGGGTTCGAGAGCACTAGTTGTGCGTCAGTGGGCGAGTTTTGCAGATGAGATGTGTGCAGTGCATATCTGAGAAAGAAATGAAGGATGATTAAATGGAAAGAATTCTTCAGAAGCTATAGCTAGCACGTAGAGTGTATAAGTATACTTACTCAATATGCTTAAAGGGGGACGTTGACTAGTTGGTGGAATGTGGAAATTGCAGATTTGCGTTGGCGCTTGGAAGCGGATGTTACAGTCTTGCGAAGCGGAAGCGATGATTTGCAATGATTTGCGAGTTGCTGGGGGATTTGCAGTGCAGCGAGGGTACTCGGTGCAGCGACGAAGCCGGGGGTAATCACATACCGTTCTTGGCAGGAGATGCATACACGCACATTCGGTCATTGATCTATGCTGTATCTGATATCAAAACATGTATGAACTGTCAATTCTAGTAGAGTGGAACCGCATGTGGCCTGCAACTTGCAAGTTTCTACACTCAAAGCTGTACTGATTAGTTGATTGTCATTGCGTTGTTAAGCATGGTGTAGTCTTATCTGTAAGATGTCAACCTCTCAGCGTGAGACACACTTTTGTCCAACAAATTAGTATGAAGTTGATTGAGTTGACACTGACACTGCCGTTAAACTGCCAGTTTCAGTATCATGACAGGAACGTTTGGTCATGCCAGTGGACTGTTACCGTGAAGCATGGAGAACATGCATTGGTGCGTTGTAGTTTCAAAGATGGGAAGTAGACCACACACTGACACCGACTATGATGATACTGGCAGTTGAATAGCCACGATGAATCAAATTCAAACTTGATTGACAGGAACATCTGGTCATGCATGTCTGCAGTGGAGTATCTTATGAGTAGAATTGTGGATTTGAATGGAAGATTGCATTGATGCATTGACGTGGTTTCAGCTGGTTGATAGCGGATGTATTGACAGACTTGATGATGAGCTTGGACTTTTGATCTGGGATAGCGTTAGGTGTCGCAGCTTTGATGATTTGATTGTTGAGTTGAAGATGTTACGAGAACTGTAATACGAATTGAGTTGAAGAAATTTTCATCGTCGTCCGAGATTTGCTAGGTGGCTGTGAGCTAGTGGAGCTTAAGGATTGATAGGTCATACCTAAGCTGCAACGGATGAGAGTGCAATATGGTGATTGAGCTACTCGTAAAGTCACAGTAATGTATGGCATATGTCTATTGGAAACAGCCTATGCTTCCATCCTTCTTCGATTTCTAGGCGTTCAGATCGCCGTCGTATGAGAGGAAGCAGTCAAATTTGCGCAAAGTAGAGTACCAAAGTAGTATGTTTTGATTATTTATATTATTTGTTTGTTTGCTTGTTTGTGACTATCTGATGCTATCTTATCCTATCCTATCCATCGTCCATTCATCGTCCATTCAATCCAGGGTATCTACAAATGCATAAAAATGACGGCAGCCTCCCAATCCATACTGTAGACAGTAGAGTAAAACAATAACTATACTATAAAAACAAAGATATACAGCCGTATATAGGCATTAGACACGTAAGAAATGCGTTCGCTTGCTTGCGTACATGAAATGATGCTGTGATTCTTTTAGAGTTCCGTCCTTCCTTAAGTAACTTTTGATATACACAAAAGAAATATCTATCTTCTAAACCCATCCAACTCCACTCGATCATAGTAAAAGGTTCGTAAGTTGCATCCTCGTGTCCCTCTCCTTTGCCTCCCGAGAATAAGTATTCCCAGGACTGATCGATCGAATAGGGGCCAACTGAATATGTTGAGGACTTGGTGGCGCAGTCAATGGCTGTGGAGCTCCCCTTGGAGTTTCTTGTTGCTGTGCACGCCCTGAGATATAATACTCGCGTTGATGATGTGAGTCGCGAGGTGGAGATGGAGGTAGGGGACTAGGGTATTGTTGCTCTGAGCGACGGTGTGGATAATTCACGGATATGCTCGCAACGCTCGGGCCTCTGCTGTGATGAGAAGATTTTATCGAGTTGAAATGTGCGTGAGTGTAATACGATTCTCTTTCTAATGATGGATGACATAATGATTGTGATTCAAACTCTGATGCGTATGGTGAGGTGTTAGGTCTAATTTGAAGTTGTGGGAGAGATGGTCTTCGAGAGTTGAGACGGTCGAATGATGAGAGAGGTGGAAGTTCGAGGGAGGGTGAGGATGCTACTCTGGGAGAGATGGAGAAGTTTGAGCAGGTGTCTGAGATCAAGGAGGGAGCACCATCGAGTGATTCTGCTCGAGATGCTTCGGATACTGATGGTGAAGGAAGAGAAGTGTGTATTCTTCGAGATGAAAAGGTGTCAATGTGACGAGATGTGGTGTGAGAATGAGAGTGAACTGGTCGTGCGAATGATAGGGTTTCAGATTGCTCGTTGAAGGAATGTGAGTGAGATGAAGTCCTTCTACGAAGAACCAAACGACGTCTTCGGTTCATACTTCCATTCCACCAATTCTTTACGGCGTTGTCACTGCGTCCTTGAAGTCTTCGAGCAATTTCGGCCCATCTCTTGCCCATCTCTCCTACCAATCTTTCGATTTGAAGTCCCTCTTCGGGACTGATTGGGTCGTGGTTTAAGGTTGGCTTGAGGTTTTGGTGGTAACGTTCTCGACATTGCTTTGGCGATCTTGAACCGATGAGTTGTGCAATTCTCACCCAGTTCAAAGCTCCTTGTGTGTGAACAAGTTGTACCAAGTACGAATCTTCGGCTGGCGACCAAGGCCCACGTCGATGAGATGATGACATTTTGAAGAATATTAGATGCTGAATGATAAAGATTGAAGATAAAGACAGAAAATCAAAATCAAAATGAAGGTGATGATGATCAGTCGTTAGGTCGATGGGCAAAGACGTTGGGATATAGGAAGCTCCTAATCGGTCAACGGCCCTAAGATGGAATCGGAAGTTCGTGAAAAGATGCCACAAGAGCGGTCAAGGTCTCGAAAAGGTGTCGAAGAGCTCAAGTGCACGGATGGGCCGCGGACTAGCAAGTGGATGTTTTTTTCAAAAACACGAGGGATCAAGGGATGTAATTTCGCTGTGTGCCTGAGCCTGGGACACGAACTAACGGCTGCTCAACGACTGAAAGTTTCCGCGACTACCCTTATTATAGAATCGTCGCTCGGTGCTGTACTTGGTCCTGTGAGTCTCAAGGAAGATGTTACAAGTGGAGACGACGCTAGATATTGTGGTGGTCTCTGGTCTTGGGATGCTTCAATCTCGTCCCTTGATCTAGACTTGTGATGGCGGCAGTGGCGATGAGAAAATGCGATTTTCTTTGGATGAAGGGTGACCCTTTCAGTTGAAGCGGAAAGTAGGGAGAAAGCTTGAGCCAAGAGAGTCTGTGTGGTTAAGATTTTAATGATTCGAAACGCAACGCTCTGATGGGTGACTGAGTCGCGTAGATAGGGATTTTTCTTTCAAAAGAGATGAAAGCAAATGCTAGTTATCGATGATATTGAAGATGGGTGGACTGGAGTTATAGTTGAGAACAGGAAACCGATGGATTGGTATGAAGATGTTGAAATGGGAAAGACAATATCGGGTTGAGGATGGGGCTTATGTCTTGTAAAGTATAGTCGGCGATGGGAAGTATGACAATGATATACATTGATTTCCAGGTAAGCCAGGGACCTAGGGATTCTTACGAAAACATTTTATTGGCGGGCGCGACAACGATCAAGGTCTTAACAGGGGGGTAGTGAGGATGCTTCTGGGGAGGGGTGATGCGTGTTTTGGTATGGGTAGCACGGATCCTGTACAGTTTCGATCGGATAAACTCAGGGTAGGGGTAGATTTTTTGGGACTTTTTTTCTGGGATGAGAATGGAAAGTAGGGATGATGGTAAATGGAGTTTTTAGTCCAAGTGTATGGTGTGGGTGTGGGTGTATGGGTATTGGTATTGGGCCCGGGGTGGATTGTTTGGGTAGCGGGGACGTGATTGATGTGTGGTCGGTGGATGTTGTGCGATGGTCTAGGTATGGGTGGGCGGGTTTTGCATTTTGTGGTAGGGGTGGTTGAAATAGCAGATGAAGACTTAAGACGTATAGAAATGTAGTGGATGGTTTGTGCAAACCTTGAAAGATTCGTTTCGTCCCGCTCTTGCTCTTGCTCTTGGGAAACCTAGGGATAGATTAGAACCTAGCAAGTTTTGGGAAAGCTTAGAAGAATACTTTTTGGGGGGTTTCTGATGCTTTGAGACATATCTTACTGGCAAACTAGGCCAACTCGGGTTCTTGAAGGAGTAACATCATATATTGATGATGAATGATCCTCGTTGGCGTTGCGGGAAGGCTTCTGCACAATACCCAATCTTTCGGGTTGCTCAACTCTCCTTTTGCCCCATCTTGACCGTAAGCATCCATGTCTTCCATGTTTACACCTCGAATCTGTAAATAAGATGGCTTCTGAACCCAGGATGTGCTACGCTGCGACATTAGTAACATAGCTGGCAACGTACCTAACATCCGAATAAGATGCGAGGAGTCTTATACCTAGAACACCATTGACGCGCGAATTGCACTAAGCTGCAAGAGGAAATAAATCCATCTATGCCAGTATCCTACACAGCACAGCACGATAAATCACAGAAATCCGTACAAACCCAGACGATTAAAACACCGAAGAGCGAAACTACGAAAGGGAGTGAAAAAGCAAAATGGGGAAGTTGATTTGGAATTTATTGCCTAGCTTATCCTAGTGGAGTAACATCATACCTGGCTAGTGCGCGCTCTGGAGTCTGGACGGGATCTTATTAGTCTTCCATCCACCAAGGGAGTTACCCGCGAAATGTGTCGTTAGAACTTATAAGTTAGAACTTAGAACTTAGAAGCTAGGATCTTTCTCAGGTACTTGGGTGTGGACTTCGGTGTAACACCAAATAGAATACCGACCGTACAGTGCGTACCCAAGAAAAACACACACCTCATCGCAGCAACATGTCGACGAGAGTGGAGGAGCGGAGGCTTGGGAGTCGGACATTTGGCGAAGATGGCGAATATGGCGACGAAGGGGGAAGCAAAAATGGATGGATGGAGAAGACAAAAAAGCACTTACCATACGCTCGCCGGGAGATCCTTTTCACACAAATTGGGCATTTGCCACTTTTCCTCCCAACTTCCCAACTCATTGAGCGATTCGAGGTCTGGGCGTCATCCAAAAGGGGAAAATGTGAAGGGAAGGAATACATTGAAATTTCTAAATCAAATCCCTCGAGGTCTTCTTCTCGCAGATGTTACTATGTGTTTTCTTTTGAAATCCGATGTCAGCTATTTCTATCGCATCTATCGCATGATTCACCATGCCATGCCATGCCCTGCCATGCCATCTGATAATTCCCCATCTATCTGCCTACAAACAAATCTGACACTTTGCACCAATTGACATTCATCTCAATAATGCAAATTGAGCTGTTTGAGATTTGTACGGTAGAGTTGATACCATAATAGATCTTTCCGGGCACTTTTGGCTGAGAGATGGCGTCAATGCGATGCAACAGTTCGTAAAAGTGACGAATGTCTTCTATATCAAGTTACCAAGCATACACAGCACGCTTTTTTCCTTCTTTCTTCCTGAAATCTGAAATCGTGATTCAAAAGGTAAAACGCTTTGGGGTTGTGGAACCATTCCGAAGTCAGCTGAAAAATCATAATAATAACAACGGAAGATTATAGCCAGGTTTGATGAATGGGACCAAGGTAGATCATCTTTAACTTTTATTCATACCAATGAAAGCCAATGAAGGCCATTGAAGGACAACGATGGTCATGTGCTATGTATATTTGTATCTATTTGCAGTAAGAGAGTGGAGTTAGTTGAATTAAGCGTTTGTTCACATTAGGTCATTATTGGAATTGGAGAATGGTAAGGTGGTCGGTGCTGCGAAACGAAAGCGAGTTTAGCCCCTTCATCAATGATGGAATTGTGGCCTTTCCTCCTTTCTGCCACTAGCCATCGCCTCACGATAGATGGAGACTCTAAAGAGATCATGAAGTGGCTCATATGTGGACAGTGGATAGTGGACACAAAGCAAAGGGCGAGCGAGCGAGCGACCGCTGCAGTAAATGAAAAAAAAAAAAGTCCCGTCGTAGATCATTAACAACCAAATCTCACTCCCCTCTGCCCAGTAAAAGGTGTGGACCAACTTTAATTTGATGAGATGGGAATCGTGGGAGGGATGAAAGCTCCAGCTAATCGAACTAATGTCAATTCGGAAATAAAGAACGAGAATATCATGAATCCCATCCTCTAGAATTTTCCGTTGACATCTGGCCATGTGGCTACCGGTATCTCATCTCATCTACTTGGTAACTATCCAGAAAAACAAATATGCAATGGGAATGTTCTAATCACTTCAATATTTCCCCCATTGTTCTGGGACTTACCCGCATTAATTCCTTTCCGCGCCATTCATAATTCCCCTTAGCCAATGATAGCTTCATACGCACCTCCCAATTCCATTCTCGAAACCCGAGAGATTGCACTTTAAAATATGTATATCCTTTAGCTCAAACCTCTGCCTTGTTGTTCGCAGGCGTGAGTACCTGGTTCCGTTGCCTTATATTCCATGTCATCAGCATGTCCTTCCTGGGTCGGTCTTCCTCTGCTCTTGGGTCATTCATCAGTCAGTACATGTAGACATTCTCCTTTTGTAACACACACTTTGCATTCACTCTCCCATTCATTTATCATGCCACAACCCCTAATCCCGAACCGCTCCCTTTGTCCCATCGCATCCGCCTTGTGCCTTTTTTAAATATCCTTCGGTTGTGTCCAATACCTCGCTTGCTTCCGCTGGAATTCCCCTTTTCCAGCTTGTGTTTGTGCGGCCATGTGCTCAGGTGCGGGTGGTGTTGTTGGGACGGACTAAGTTCAAGACGGAAATAAACGGTGCGATATGATGTGATGGGATGGGATCTCACAGCGCAGCGCATCACATCACATCACATCACGCCGCCCATTCAGTCGGTACGGCAAGTACAGTAAGCCCTGGGAGATCACTGTTATGCTTTTTGTTCGCGAGGCTTTAGGGGCGTCTTCATGCCATGGCGTAGAACGTATAGGCTGCTGAGAACCCCAATGCACATGCTATTTCTGTACCTGTCAACAAAAACGCCATCATATGGATTATTGATTTGTGTAGGCAGATACATAGAGAAATGTGAGCAATGGTTTATGCGCATCATACTCCATTCTATTAGCCTGATATCATTTATCATGTCAATTTCTCTCACATCGGAGGAATTCCATGCCTCACCTGATAAAACACGGGCCCAAATATCCCTCTCTTTCTCCGTTTCTCTCAGCCACGGCCAGTTCGCCGGGATAGATATATGGATATGGATGGCACAGCTTTCGACTGGGATTCTGGTTTATCTGTCGGGATTCCCAGGTTCACAATGTCATATAATATGTATGAGCACAATGAAGAATAGATGATATTCCGTTCCACTCCAACTCCAAGGATCATGATTTACGCATTATTTCATTTGGGACAAAACGATATTTGCATTGCGTTGTGGAACATCGATATACGGCTGGGCGAGCTAGGAAAATAACTGCTACGGAGGCACGCCGCACTGCAGATCGCTTTCGCTCCCGCCCGAGTCCCGAGGGTGGGAATCTCTCAACACAATATTCAGAATATTCGAAATATATGTTTTGCCTAACTCATGATGGATGCAATTTAATATATTACTCTTTATCTCTGTCTTTCAGTCGTCAAGCAAGCTAGCTGAACTGGATAGATACAATGTGATCATTTGTGGTCCAGATTCGTAAATTTTAACTTTCCCGGATGCTCAAGCTTCATCTCCAATACCCTTCCTCCATTTGGCATTTTGTGATTACTATACATCAAGTACCTAGGTAGGCACGTCCGTACGTACAAAAGAAGCTTTCTACACCCCTTCAAAACTATTGACTCTCCAGTATGTATCTCCACCCAAGAAGTCTTGATGTCACCCACAAAATAATCTGATCAAGTAAGGCTTGCGACAGAGATCAACCAGAGCCCTTACCGATCATACCGAGGAGCCTTACCTTCCTCCCTTGGCTGTTGCATGCTGGCGCACAAGATAGAGCCAGACGTACATACATCTTCTTCTGTATTCGCTGCACCTATCCGGATCCAGCAGTAAGGTTCACGGGCTGGAGAGTTGTACTAGTACCTGCCGTGAACACGGTGAGGTGAGGGTGGATAAATAACGGTTTGCAAGGTGTCTGATGGGATTGGGTTCCCTCATTCAATAGGAATCCTAACGAAATGAATTGTGTCTACTTCGGGGGTTGAATATTATTGACTCTGAGTACCTACCTAGGTAGACCTAGATGAACTTGCTGAGAGCTTTTGACGATGCAGTAAACAACCGGCACTTCGAATATCTCGTGCAAGGAAGGAGAGATTCCACGAGTGCTGAATTTCGGTACAATAGACCCGCCCCAGCCCCAACTGGTGATCTTAGACAAAAGATCAATGATCAGCAGCAGCTAATAGATCTCATCAACGATCATTTTCCAGCACTACGGTAATTCACGATTTTGTAGATCTGCCCTTCCGACTCTCCAGAAAGTCTCCATCGCAACCCAATATCAATAAATCCCCTCCGGGGAAACCACTTTTCTCACCCTGCCAGTGTCATCACATCACCCCCTTCATCGCAATGTCACACAGTATCAAAGCTTTAAAGTCGTGATCCTACTCGTCAAAACTATAACGTTTGATCCAGCCCATCGGGTCTCCCCAAGTCTGCAAATCACCACCCAATCCATTTAGGAAAGTAGCATATCGTATGGTCGCCGATATCCCCCTGGCAAAACTTGGCGCTGACAGGGGCCATGCAATGCAGGCACTATTAACGTCGTGACTCGTGTTTTATGCTGTGCTACTCTTCATCCTGCTGTGTGCGGAATTGTTATGTTTCATAAGGGCTCTTCAGTGTTGCTGTAATATCCGTCATTGGGATTGCTGCAGTCACGACGTGCAGAGAGATTTTTGTCGATATTAATGTTGCACAATACGGTGATTCAAGCGGGTACAACAGAAGCGGCACGTTCATCGTCGTGAGGTTAAGTAATTTCTCGGGATTTCAGGGGGTCATGTTTCTTGTTCCTTCCTACCGGTATCCAAGGAAAGCAAATCAATTCAATACTTTGTCACCTGGAGCCATACAAGCCGATTCCCCAATGTCCCAGGAGATCTGGAACAACGATAATGGAACTCTAAATGGTGATGACAGTGGTTGGACAACAGAAAGCGGCAGAGTACGGTACCATCCGCCGGGGTTGCAGAAATGGAAATTCGTGATGGATAAGGTGGTATTGCTAATGATCGATATTGACATTTAGATGTTGGGCTTTCTGAGACGGACGGACGATGCTTGCTGTTATGATGATGATCGGCTGAATCAACATAACAGTATTTCATACCCGGGCTCATATCATTCACATGTACCAGTACTATTGCAGAATCCGAATCCAATATTTGGACAACATGGAAGCAGGGTTGTGTTATTACCCAGCAAAAGCAAGCAAGTGAACGAACATGATGCATATCACACCGAATGGGAATTCTACGGAAAGATTCCCGCTGATGATTACTCACCTTGTGTAAATCGTGTGGCTATTGTAGAGCATGCAAGAGATAGATGAATCGGTGAATGAAGTTTCAGGTGCAGGGAACTAACTGAAGTGTGTTTTTGTTTGCTTTTTTGTCTTGAGTGGTTCCTGTTAGCTGGTCCCGATGATCGAAATTCAGCCGTTGAAGAAACGGAGATGGGAACGGGGATAGGGTTCAAACTGGAAAAAGCAAACGAAATCTCCAATTGTCATTTCAATACTTGGTAGCGAAAGCCAAGAGAACAAGTTGTGCGCAAGACGAATTTGAATTTGTACACAGTCTCCGAAGAAGAAATGCTGATTTCGTATAAACGACTCTCTTATATTGTGTATATTATATGCTAGGTACATGTACATAGATAGGTATTAGGTAGTCCAACTGCTCAACCGTTTACGGAAAATCCTCGGCCAGCTCCTCAATTGCCGCCTCCTTGGACTTAAAAAGGAACTACTCGCACAAGCAATCCAATCACCAATCACCAATCACCACTGCTTTGCTCCGGGCCTACGCCATGATCTACGGGCACTTGCTTTCGCTTGCCTACCTAGTTTTGCGTCGCTGCGCTTGTGGGGTTGTTCCGTCTTGCACCTTGTATTTGGAATAATTTTCTTGCTTCCAAGGTTGTTATTGCATTCCAAGGTTGTCCAAGCTCAGTGGCTGATGGTTGGAAGAAGGAGATGGAAGTGCCTTGATCCATGTCTGAACGAACACGAGCGAGCGAATGAATGCTCCCTAGCTCACCAGATATTTGATGAGAAAACGTTCGCTAGTGTATCGAATTAGATTAGTTAGGGCGAATAGCTTGCCAGCTGTCAAAGGTTAAGCTGGGTTGAACTTGTATATGAAGGATACTGGCTCGAGACTGGAGGGCTAATGTCAAAATGTTACAGGCTCTAAATTATAGTCTACAGATAAAGTTTTGGTCAGAGATTTGCACGTCGGCACCGAAACAGATGGCGTAGTCGTGCATCGTTACTAGGCATAAAGTTGGATAGGCTTTATATAATGGATGTCAGATGGGAGTTCAGAACAAGGGCAGAGAGAAAAGTGTTACACTCGGATTGTTTTTTCCCCTCGTCATGCCCCAGCCTGTGGTAAGAGCGATGAATTACCTAACATGGATAGGAGTCTCGATTCACGGAAGTGTACTTTTTGCTGGGTCAGTTGGTCGATCAGGGCCTTTCCAATTATCATCTACGTATCCATCTATATGTAGATCCTGTTATTGATCTTGGGTATCCAAGATGGGGTATTCGAGTTTACGCTTCTTATTTCTCCAGCTCATGTATCCCTGATATCAATCATATCAATGTAAGGAGCATCAACTGTAGAAAAGTTTCAGAAATTCGCTTTCAGGATAGATATTTAGGCACCACAATTAATGAACCCTTGATATATATATTGTTCCAGGATGCATGTGAGATTTGTATAATTCTTTCTTTTGCCTCTCAGCAATGGACCCAGATACACGGATATGAGCGTCGGTATGATACCCGTCGAAGGAATGGAAATGGAAGCCCGAGAAAAAGCAAAAATCCGTTGGAAAGCTATTTTTGGTAATAATCATCCTTGAGACAGATATGCGAGAGATGGGGGGTCCCATGGCAATGGTTACCCCTGTGACGGGATCCTTTCACAGCTCTATCCGTCGGCGCATGTACGAGGGGGTGTAGAAGTTGGTGAGGCTCGAGATGGTAAGTGGTGGTGTTATGTAGTATCATGGTAAGTGAGGCTGATGTATGGAGAAGTTTTTGGAGCATTCCAGGCTTAGAGATATTCCCTGATATTAACCTTGAAGCACTTCTTCCCCTACAATATATCTCTGACAAGCAGCAACTTTATCTCCAGTAAGCTCGATCAATTCAAAATCTGAAACTGATGTACCGACTGCTGTTCCTAAATTAAGAACCTTGGAATAAAAAACATCATAGCCTTGAAATGTCGGTATCGGACAGATACTTCAAGCGCCCTACGCCAAACCACTGCTCAGTCCGATCTGTTTATATGTGGGGATGATAAACACGGGATCTCCGTAAAATAAATTGAGGTTGAGATATAAATGGGGATAACGGGGGCAGTTTATTGATCTTCAGATCGAAAGTCTCGTCTTTGACAGGGCACCCTGAAGGTGATTTAAAGAGATCTTCATTCTCAGTGTTACACTTTGAATGACGGATATCAGACGTGTACCCATCTTCGCAAACTTTTCCTCCGTTTAGAGCAAGATGGAAAATGAGTACCAAGATCTTATAGCTGGGGTTATGCATCCTTGATACGGATTATCATGGTTGTTGGGATTGTTTGGTAATAGGTATGGAATTTCGATGGTTCTAAGCCTTGACCTAGAAACGGCTCTTCCCCCTTGTCCAACCACAGGAACCCTTGCCCTAGCACCTTACCCTTTTAGGTTAATTTTGGCGATTTCTTGAATGAGGCGCTGCGTAAAAAGGCGAGAAAGCAGATGAGGCTACCATGTATGAATTTCCCTGATCACCATGACTAAGAATCGAATCCAGGAGAGAGAATTGACAGTTCAAGAATAACTTTCATCTCAATGCTTTCGTTGCTCGTTGCTTCCTGCGTTATGGGGTATCCATTCAGCTCATGACAATTGGCAAATCTGATTCGTGTAGATCTCCTTCGCCCTGGAAACAATGCTACGGCATTGTTCATGCTTCATGCGAGATACTATCCTTTTAAGAACCGGTGTGGAAGATGTGGCTGAAGGTGTGCGTGTGCACATTGTTTGTCCAATGCTGATCATGTTATTCTGCGTACATCGAGTTGCATACCCGTCTGCAAGTTTGCGCTGCCATGTACAGTTCCGACCGTTGCCTTCTGTATTCATTGGCTATCCCCTCACCTGCTTCATTACCCACAGGGAAGCATGCGATCAAGTACAGTAGTAAATGAAACCCTCAAAAAGGCCTAGAAGAGCCAAACTAAACCGGTAAGGCGGAAAGGATCTGCAGAAACCTTTTGGACAAGAGGTCTCGCCAATCTACAACTTGGTAGGTGGTAAGCAAGCATAACGGGTTCTAGAAAATGTTGCTTTTTCTTTGGAGTATCAGCAATATACCACGAGGTGGAAAGCCGACAATCCTACTCGATGTATACACACCTGATGAGCCGCTCTAGCCTCTATCCCCCAAAAGGCGAGTGGCTGGACGGGACAGTCTTCTCACGTTTCCCCCCCCCAATTTTTAAAGACATCGCCGACATTATTATTTTGGCGTTTAAAACGGTAGACAGATTATTTGCGATTCAAGTACACTGTACGGTGTTCATATGCCTAAAGGATACTGGGGTACCTTTAGACAGGTATCACTTATTGGTAGAATTTACGAGTGAATTTTGCGATGATTAGTGCACATTCCCCTTCGTTCTCTACCACTCGATGTTTCCAGCGGTCAATATCGATAATGTTGTCGCTCAGGTTTTTGGTCTTTCTGCATTGCAACGCTACTTTGGGACTCCAGAGATTCGGATTTCATCTGAGAGTATCATTTCGGAATAAATTGTCAATTAGAATCATCGAGATCTGGGGGGCTGCCCACATTGGGACGGCATTATATTTATCCTCATAGTTCTTATGTACATGTAAAATTTTGTAGTCTTCCATTGCAGAAGTATCGGGAACCTCTATAGATACATATCGTGGTCGACAGTCTAGGTCGCCGACCTACATTGAATACCAAAGATACCTGAACTTTCATCAACGTTGGTGCTACTTTATCCTGAATCCAAAGCAATAACGATCAATAGTTACCAAGGTAATGGAGATGGTGTGCATCAACGTCTTTACTACCACGGGATTGCAAAGAATGGGGCTGGTAGTAAAATCCATGAGGCGTAGAGACTTGTTGAAGATCTCACTTGTAATTATTGCAAACAAGAACGTCATTTTGTTGTACCCGTTCATTCTAAATCGAGATCTAGACCCGAAAGCACTCATAATTTCCACGTCGCATTCCTTGACAACTTGGGGACTGCCACGCATATATCCTTATCCGTTGTCTCCAGCTCTGCCTCTTGACAATCTTCAATTCCTTCCCCATTTGCAAATTGCACCACGACGAAATCAATGGGCTTCTTCCCCACGACCACCATCGGAGCATGCCAGGTCCCCGCTCCATAGGTGACCGCCTGTGAACCATTCGCTAAGAAAGCCTGAATTCTATTCAGGTCCGGTAAACCGCGACCGGGCAGGTTCTCAACATTATCATCACTCGTGCTTGTTTGAGGGGAGAGAACGGGGACAGGTAAGGTTTCATCGACTGATGACGGCGTTAAACTCGGTGCTACGACAACCAAGTAACATACATCTTCTTGCTCCGAGGGTGATATCCCGAGAGGTATGAATGTTTGAGTCGTGAAAGGATGTCTTTCCAGTATGGTGACCGGAAATAACCCCCCGATATTGCTATCGTGAGACGGGAGAAGCGAACGAGGTGCGCATACAAACATGTTCATGACTGCATTCGCGACCCGTTGACTAGGAGCGCTCCCGTAGTAATCCTTCATATGCGTGACATCTAGGTATTTGAGCGCGGTACCTTGGTTGGCTTGTACCGCATTTGGTGGTAAGGTTTTGATCGTTGATGATGGGATCACCGCTGGTGCGGGGTTTTGAATCACAGTCCCAAAAGTTGCAAAATCATCTTGATTGAGTGGTTTTGTATGAATTATCTTTTCTTTGACATTTGCTTGGATAGTCACAGGCATCTTAATAACTTTTCTTGATGTCTTTGCTCTGGTTTACGTGGATGCTGTCTGGTCTTTTCGAGCATCATGTGAAAGTCGAAAGTGGGTGGTGTCACGTGTGCATGCGACACGTGATCAGTCCGGCCTCTACCCTTCTCGAGCTCCTCCATCGTTCATTCTCGAGGACCTGATAACCTCACAATTGAATCGTACGCTTCCACATAATGTGTGTTGAAGTCTGAGTATCCAGATTCCTTTTTGGATTTACTCCCCCTATATTTCTATTCTTTCAATACCTATACCACCTCTTCCCAACGTAATATCCCCTTTCGATATACTACCTCTGTTTGATATACCATGTCTGTTGGATCTACCACCTCCTTCTAGTATATCATCGTCTTCAATAATATGATAACAATTATTCTAGACAGCTATTGTAGCATCAATATTACACCTTATTATAATGATGCGATGCAGTCCCTCCGACTTTCACCTTCTACATTTCTCTCAAAGGCGCAAGTCTTCATTGGCCTTCCAGTTTATCCTTCACCTTCGCCGAATCCAAATCAATACAATACCAGTGAATCTGCGTCCCAAGTCTCTATTGTTCCATTATCTCTGCTCAACTCGCGTCTTACCGGCAAAGTTTTCCATTGTACTTGCAAGGTCAATTCACTCTTGGAAAACAATGATCAGTAGCGAGAAAATTCTGTCGTCGTTGCAGAATTTTTCGGCACAATTCAATTTTCCCTATTGTAATTGCTCTCGCTACGATCATGGCGAACACCTTGTTGAGCATGTCGATGGGAACAATAGAGTCAATAGACCTTCTATTGTCTGGAGATAGCTTCAAACCCATGGTGTGCTTGGTAGGATTTTACCTATATCCTTCTCTTCTTCTATTCTTGGATAGCTTCTTCCTGTGACCGTTCAATCGTACATTTTGAGCATACCAAATTCTAAGTTTCACAGCTCTCAATTGTAATCCGTACCTATTCTTTCATCATGATGTTTACCAAGCCTACCGAATTTTCCTTCGCAGATATGGACGAGGACTCTGCAAAAAAAGCTCTGTCTGTCATAGCATCCTTCTTTTATATTCAAGAAGGCGGAGTGGAGTGGTTGAACGATAATCTTAGCCAATTTGGTTGCACAGCCGATGGTTTAGTTAACGAAGCCTTAGTTGATCAAGAGCTAACACAACATCAAGTCTGCCAAGATCTCCACCACGCATATCGTCTTCATATCAATCCAAATGACGAAGATGCTGCTGCATACAAGACACCAGCCCCTACGACTGGCGGCAAAGGCAAAAGTGCGCACCCATTTAATAAGCCCTTTGCTTATGCAGCAATACACCCTCAATTCCTTGTAGAGCAAGCATTCAATGCTCGACTTGCAAAACTTGACGAAGTGCCTGTCGAAAAACAACCCTGTGGAGAGACTGCCGAGCTGGAGGCTTCTCAGCAAGAATCTCCTGTTACCGATCAACTTGTCAATCAGCTTGAGTACGAGTCTTCAGATGCCGACTACTCTGAATACCAATCCGAGCCAGAGGACTTCGTTAGAGGCACCTCCAATATTTCCGATGACGATGATTTAGACGATGAAGATTATGTCGAGAAGTCGGTTACCAACTTCGATGGACTAATTTACGAACAACAGCTCGCTCTTACCATCGAAGCCTCTCTGAAAGAGCACTCATCACAGAAGTATAACGGCGAATCTTCTGGTGCAAGCAATCAACTTACACCACCACCTTCTCAGCAAAATACAACTGTACCAGCGAACTATTCTGGTGGAAAAACCATCTTATGTCCAGGCCAATCTTCCAGTGGAAAACACATCTTGCCCGCATCGCCACAAGCTACTTCGTGTCCATCTTCCCTTAATAGAAAGCGAGAACACGATGATGACGAGTCTCATGATAATGAAGATTATATCAAGTCTACTCGTCGGCCGACCAAGAAGCGCACGAAGTCTGTCACTAAGTCATCTGCTCACACACCGGCTTCTTCGTCTGCCTCAGCCACTAGTGATTCAATTCATTCTCCCCCAGTCACTACATCTGGCTCCGCTTCTTCTACTTTGAGCTGTCGCAAAGCATCCTCCAAGCCTCGCAGAACACCCCGATCTTCTCGCAAAAGTGGTACTACCAGTAAACCCCGTCGCGCCGCCTGGACCGATGACGAAACATTCAAGCTCTACGAATGTCTTGTCAAACGTCGAGAAAGCGAAGCTAAGCACCCTGATCTTGTTAAACTCTACGATGCTCCTCTCTGGAAGCACATCTCGGAAGAACTTGCTTCTGTCCATGGCATTCATCGAGCACCTGGTGGTTGCAAATCTAATTGGAATCGAAATGGACGAGAGTTCTTTGATTTTGATGAACGATCGGTTTTGAAACGCTCGAAGTCTCTGGCTACCAGTGTTCAGGTTCCAAAGAAGGACAGAAAGGGAAAGAAACCTGTTGCCGTTGATGAGGTTGATGATGATGAATAGTTGGTTGTGACTTGACTCTCAAGCGGGTGTTTGGTATTTCTTTGCTTCCTTGTTTTTTCAGGTTAATTGGTAAATGCTGGTTGCTTGATGGAGGTTCTTTTGGCTCATCCTACCTGTTTTCAAAGTGGTTCTTCGGTTATATGGCGGTTTCATTGGTTCTCCTTTATCCATTTCTGGATGGAATGGGGTTTTCGTAGTCAATTACATGTTGACGGGATTATGGCCACTTGTTTCTTGAGTCTTGCCATTGTGCTTGCTAGCCCATTATTCATGGCTTGGCTCGATATTGTACTTTTTAGGAATGTATCTAGATAACTTGCTCTACGGTTGCTTCTACGGAGATGATTATACACGATGGAATGATAACATTTACATGTTTCATCTTATACAGTATCTTGTTTTGGTCCTCATGACTTGTGTGCCACATGACCACACAAATTTCTCTTTCCCTTTCGCCCTTCTGCCCTGATGACCTCATGCATGCTCTTCCTCACGAGGAGGGAGACTCAAATTGGTGAGAAGCCGCTGCCAATAAATACGAAATACATTCAATAAACAAATGAATCCATTCCATGAAGACCAAAGAAGTCATCGCACAGGACGATGTTTATTTAAAAATAAGGAAGACCAAAACAGTCAGGTATACGAGAGAAAAAGAAGAAATCAGGTGGCACTTGCGATGATGCATATAAATCTTATAAACTCATAGCATGCTTCTATCTTCCACATACCTTATATATAGACGTCACGATGCAGAACTGGTGGGCGTAGCCATTTAAGGATTGATTAAAGATATAAAGAATCAATATCACTATATCACAATCAAGTATGGTTATGGGAGAGTAATAGTCTGAAGTTTGAAATTCTACTGCTTGTAAACTGTTAATGCATAGAAAGAATAGAGAAGTGAAAAGGCAATTAGTGGATTTAGCTCAGCGGTCTTGATATACAGAAAAGATCTCTGAAATTCTGCGTATTGCGCAATTTTTGTATGAGAAACAAATTGTCTAATCAATACCTAGTTGAGCTAAAGTTCTGTGTTGTAGAGTGGTGAATACAGAGAGAAGACTTACGAACTGAGGAACGTATTGTATCTCAATGATATTTTGCTGTGGCATCTTCTTTCCACAGTTTCCACTGACTTTTGTTTCTCTATATTACTTTGATCTAATCTAGCTGGTCATGATATGGGGGGTCGGGTTGGGTTATATTGGATTTCACTTTGGGTAGCTACCTGGACTTTCATCGCATCTGACTTTGCTTGCTTGTACTGGTGGACAGGACGAAATAGATTTTTTTCTCTTTCATTCCGATTATTCTGAGTATTAATGTGTGCTTTGTTTTCCACAAGTTTCTGATTATGACATGAGGAATTGCTATTCCTATGCATGTCTATATTTGCATATGTGAGCTGCGGGTAGGTCGGTCGGTGTATACTTTTTGAATGGTCTGTGGCAAGCAAAAATCACCATCATTTCACATACACATGAAGATGAGAGTAAAGTCTTAATCATTGTACTCGCCAAGCCTAACCTTCAAAGCATAACTTATATACTTATAAAACAATCACTGCCTAGTTGTCATCCTCCGACTCACTACTATCAGCATTTTCATCAGAATCACTTTGCTCGTGGTCATTTCCTAGCACCACGAGTTCTTCGGGTTCCTCTGATTCATTTCTAGTATTCTCCTCAGGCTCCGAACCACTGCTTTCTGAGATGATTGACCTGCTATCATCATCTGTTATCTCCCCGCTATTCGATTTCGAGTCATCGTGCTCAAATTCGGGGCCATGTTCCTTGAACGCGTGGTCGGGAAATTCTGCGTGTACAATGTCTCGGTGGTCGTAACATTTGACACAAAATGCTAAGTCGAGGCACACATTACATTTGTAGCACAAGCCCCACATCCCCTAGCTTGACGTCAGTGAACTATATTGGAATTACTTATGTAAGAATAAGCAAGCCCTTTGTCTGTTGACTTTAAGCAAATGTTTGTACTGTATTATATCTCGTGAAAAGGGGGTCTGGAGTGGGGGGGAGGGGGGGGGGTTACCCATAAACATGCATCACAAGTCCATCCGATCCTACGATAGGCTTTTTTAGGGCTGGAAACGTTCGCGCCATACTGTCCAAAATTTTCTGAAGATGTTCCGCCGAGTCCTTCGTCTTCGTTGGGGCCACCAGAGTTCTTGAGAAGAGCAATAACAGTGTCATCGGCTCCCCTATAATTAGCAATCCGAAGTGGTGACCAGGACTCCCCCCTGACATGATATTGGGCAGATCTATTCGCACCGCGCTCTATCAATATTCTAATAGTTTCAATCTCATTCACAGCTTCACCGGCGAGCCATTCTTCTTCTATCATATTCCCTGTACCCCGTACTGCCCAGTGTAGAGGGGTCCATCCGTCAATGTCCGTTTCGTTCGCATTTTCTTCCCCTACGAGATCTAACAACTTCTTGACGGAACTTGACCGGCCTGCTTGGCAGGCGTAGTGAAGTGCCGTGCGACCGAGCTTATCTTTGGCAGTAACATCACCGCCGGCTTCAATGACGATGTCTAGGTTCTTGCCACCGTGAAAAGCAGCTAAGTGAATGGGTAGCCTGCCACAAAAGTCCTGGGTATGAATCGACGCCCCTTCCTCCAGCAGTAGGCTAACTATTTTTGGTTTCATGAACATCGAAACCACGCCAAATACACAACCCCAGCGGCTATGTGTTCCATTGATGTCAGCACCTTTCTCGAGAAGGTAACGTATTAGGTCCTCCGTATTTTTGCCTTCAGAATCTTCCTGGGTAAAACCTCTCAAGCATGTTGCTATTAGTGGCGTTCCTAGAGGGCCAATTGAGGACTTATTAACATCAGCACCATTCTCCACTAGCAGTTTGGATATTTCCAGCGACAGGCTGTCGCATGCATGATGAAGAGGCGGATCATCTTTGCCTGGTTCGGTTCCAGATAAGTTTGGGTTGGCCCCGTGTTCAAGTAGATAAGATACAATTTCTATCGCGTTGTTTTCATTACGTCTTACCGCAACCTGTAGCGGTGTACATCCATCGTCTGCCTGAATATTGATTTTTGCACCTCCTCGAACGAGATATTGAACGTTCCTCAATGTGAGACTTCCCATCATATGTAAGGGCGTGTATCCTTGGTTGTCTGGTTGGTTTAAGTCGATCTGTGAGTGAAACTCCATTAAAGCACTTAGAGCATCGCCGTCCACTGCCAAGTGTAGAGCACTTTTGCCATCTTTGGCCCTGTGCTTGAGATCTGCACCAGCCTCTGCTAACAAAGTGACAGCGGTTGGTTTGTTTGCATTGGCAGCAAAAAACATAGGTGTCCATCCCTCCCAGAATTCACTGTCTAGAGGAACCTCGGCGTTGACATCAGCTTTATGTTCAATCAAAATTCTCGCAGACTCTTCATTACGCTCTGCTGCAAGCATGAGTGCCGTGAGGTTCTGGGGGGTTCGCGCTTCAAAGTTCCTAGTTTTTCTCGCTAACATTTCAGTAATCTCATTGTTAGTGACTGCGCTGTGCAAAGCCACGTATGGACCATTAACCGGCACATCTGGATCGCAATCATTATCTAGTAATAAACGAATCAATGCAACGTTCTGCATGAGTACAGCATTATAAAGGGCAGTTCTCCCGTGCCCGTCTTTTAGATTAACATCTGGGCGCGGGCGATGATCGAGCAGCAGTTTGACGATTTCTTCGTTGCCGGCCTTGACTGCTACAGTGAAGGGAGAAAATCTGTGAACATTCGCATTGATGTTTGCACCATAATCTAGCAGTGTACGGCATGTCGTGATTTTATCGAAACGGGCGGCATAAAGAAGAGCTAAGTCAATGTTCAAGCGGCTTGAAATATCCTTATCAGCTTTCGCATAGCCAAGCAGAAGCTCAACACATCTATCGTTCCCATTTAGTGCAGCCACGACTAGTGGTAGAATCGGATCGTCAGATGACAGTTTCATGTCTGGTTCGAGTCGCAGCAATTCCATCACAACTTCCTGATTCCCCCACACACAAGATTTGTCTATTGGTCTACAGCCGCCTACATCAACAGCATCTATCTTGGCATTGGCTTGTGTTGCTAGAAATCTAACTACATTGGCGTGGCCCCTTGAAGCAGCCAATGCCAACGGAGTACGGTTCTTGAAGCTTGGGAATTCCACGTTCGCTTTATGTTTCACGAGAACTTTGGTCATTTCCAAGTGGCCGTTAATCGAACATTGGGACAAAGGTGTCGTGTTCCATTCGGTGCCATGCTTTGCTTCAGGATCAGGACCGCATCCCATACTGAGTACAGTGTCTGCTAAACGATGAAGGTTTGCTCTGGCTGATCTCCAAAGAATATTTGTCCCCCAATGCTGAATACTCAGTTTGGTTTCAGTCGGCAAACGACCTAAAAGGTCAATTGCCAATTGCTCATGTCCCCCTGCAGCAGATGACTGAATAGCATTAAGAAGGATAGGCGCCGGGCACTCATGAATATCCAGCATTCTCTGAACCGTAGACTGCCTGCCATTTAAACTTGCTTCAACTAACCCTGCGCGGAAGTCTTCGTCGTTCTTGCTTTTGACGAGATCTATTTCACCTTGGCCAGCAAAAATTGGAAATGGTGACTCCCAAGGAGAAGGACTCCTTGTTATTGGGCTTGATAACTCCCAAAACATCCTCGACCAACTCTCAAGGTCAATATTTTGAATTAGACCTATCAGTATTTCCAGAGGATAATTTTGTGAGTCTTTAGCAGATTGAAAGTGTTGAAACCAATACTTTACAGCATATGATAAGAGATTACCCAAACAGAGTCTTGGATTCCGCCCACTCATAGTACCGTTCGGGATTTTCAAGTTGATTTCTGTGTCCGGTAGCGAGAGGTACTTCAAGCATGTTTTTGCTATTTTAAGATGAGCATCCTCTGAAGCTTCGGTCCACAAATAAGTATTCGAACATCTTCCGACAGGATTTCCAAAAATTTCTCTTAGTCTGCCGTTTCGTACAAAAACCTCATCGTTTTCGACTTCGATGAACCCTGCAAACCAAAGCTCTAACTTCACCACGAAATTATCAACTTCTAATGGGTCGGGAGATCTGTAATTTCCATGATCACCCTCGCTCTCAAGAAACATGATCTCGGCAAGTTCCCTGTTGGACAATGGCCTCTTCGAGTGAAGAAGCCACATTAGTGCACATTTTGCAACGTGTTGTTCTGGTATGCCCCGGAAGTAACTGTCCAATACTGATTCTAAGATTTCTTCGCTGTCTTCAACTTTTACAGACGATAGAACTCCCCATAATTGAGTCTTGAGCAGTGGAATCTTCCTTGCCGCTAGGTGCTTCACTATGATAGAACGATCATGATCGTCCAGCGTAGGGAAGCATGATAAACGCTTGTGCAACATCATGTTTTCTCTATGCGTATGAGTATTTTGCGGTTGCATGCTTCCCGCACTGTCCTCTGGAGACTGCGCAATGATATCAATCTCTGGCCAGTTCCCCAATTCTTCTAGTAGTACTGCGGATGTTCCGCTCGTCACAACAATCTTCCAAGGCCACTCACTCATCTGAGCGGTATATGATATCAAGTCTAAAAACGCCCTGCGAGACTCTATTTCACATTCATCGAAACGGCTAATCACAATCGATTGTTTCATGTGATTAAATAACTCAAACCAACTCATTAGGTCGCGGAATGTCCAGCAACGCTCTTGCTCAACACAATAGCTCATATATTCAATTCGGTTCTTCCAATTTGGGTAGTGACATGTCAATTGGGCAATGAAAGTGGACAGCATGTGAGATAGAGAGCAACGGCGGGCATCCCATGAGTCGAATTCAAAGAAGAGCACCGGAATTTTTTTGTCTCGTGTTCTCTGCACTTGTTCCAGATGATAGAATGCTTGTGCTGCCGCTTCCTGAATTACGTCATGTAAATTACCGTGCAAATATAAGAGCTGCGTTTCTGGGGAATCAAGCCATTGTTTGTATTTCGTATGGTCTTTTAACCACCAAGTCTCGTTTAAAGGGGCAATTAGAGGTGGCAAAGATGTTGCTAACGACAAAAGAAGGCGCTCATGACGTAGTCTTGACTCATGAAGAGGAATTATACCTCGAGATGATTGTTAGCTTATAACCTAGTACCAGTCATTTTCAAAGAGAATCTACTCACATTCCTTCAAGTCATCAAGATGATCTAAGACGCTACTCTTATGAGTATCTTCCTCAGACCTTGCTAAGCGTCTTTCGAACGGCACCCCTATGGTATAATTGTAGAAATTATCAAGCTACTGTATGTTAGCCGCACAATAATAACCACACTCATTTCAAATACGCCATTGAAATACGGCAACATTAAGTCCTCGAGAGAGAGACAACTTATATAGTTGTCTACATTCCAAAATGAGCATAAATCGTGGAGCAGTGATAATTACTTTCAATAATTTTGGTGCTCTAACCATTGTTCTGATCAAATGATGCATGTGAAGTAAGACCATTAAAAGATAGGTACTTACATGATCATCAACATAGTCGGCTTTCTTTCTTTCCTCGTAAATACTGATGAGATGGCTTCTTAGATGAAGCTTGGACAATATGAATGAGGCATTGACCTCCATAACCTCAGAAGCGAGCTTTGATATCAACGATCCTGTAAAAAACAATGGGCTAGCGCTCTGGGAGAAGTCTGGCCGTGTTGCAAATAAAGTATAGCACAGACTGTTCTCTAATCGATTTCGGTCTCGACTCTTGTGAGGACAGTCGGAGAATAACTTACTGTGTTAGCTAGGTACACATTATCATGGATAAGGTGATGGTATCATGGAATTACCAGGACTCGACTGCAATCGAGTATATCATCCCAATCACCCATTCCAGTTGAAGCAGCCACTAAAGCCTATGATGACTTGTGAGTCATTGCGTGTGTGAAATTCTTTGAAGATCTTACATCTTTAACGATGATTCCGCCTATGCCACGACCAAGGAACATGATTGTTCGAGTCTAAAATTCGTCAATTATCACAGATTTTCACAAGTGGACCATCTTGCTGGGTTTTCTCACAACTTCACCCCTCCTCAAATCCTTGAGCTTGTTCAACAAACTCAATGCAACCTGACGAATTCCAGAAATGGTCTCTTCCGAGTCTCCATCCACGATAACACTCGCGTTATATTTGAACTCGATGATCCGGGAATTCGATTTCAAGGAGTTGGCATACTGGGTAAGCCAACTATCCGGTCCACAATCGAACCATCGATCTCTATTCAACTCTTTACCGAATAGTCCATGGATGACTACAAAGCTATAATTTAATCACCTATGAGTGTCTTTACGGATCTAATTCATGAAAATCAAAACTTACTCAATGTTGACTGTCCCGGTAGTCTCCTCAATACTCGAGACCACTCTTAAGCTCTCCTCTTCAGAGCCTGTGAAGTCCAATTGTATTTCGTCAATTAGCACGGCATCGACTCCATCACCTAACGATGGGATGTTCAACTCAGGCTTGGGGTTTGAAAATGATCTATCAGACATTTCGCGGCAGGTAAAAATTTACAAAAGAGCTATAACTTAAATTGTTATTTGTGGATTGATAAATGAACGACTGATCAGGCTGCGACACTCAACTCTATGGAAACATTTTGTAGAGTAGTACAACCAAATAGGTCTTTATTGCTGAAAGTAGTCGGGCTTACGGAAATTGATGACAGGCTGCGATAATTTCCCTTTGCAGGCCGCTCTACAATCTAGCTTCCTATTACGAAGATAACGACTTTAACGGCTGTTTTCAGCCTCAGAAACAATAAAATCAAATATGGTGGATGTGCATCCCAACTCTTCTTGAAATATCCGTATCATGCAAGCCAAATTCTGAGGCAACAACTCGATTCCGTAGTGATTCATAGGTCCACTCTATTTCACAGAGCCTTCAAATTTAGTATACGAGGTGATGTCAAATATTTTTTCCAAGTTGATCGCCCCTAAATTTTGGATGTCGTGTAGGGTGCTTGTTGGGGGGATACCTGTATCAAACAAAATCGGGTCGTCTTTATCCTCCGAAGATCCAATAAATCGTCTTAGCTCGGTTTTCCAGTCAGCTTTTGCACTGATGGTTGCCACACATTGGAAATTGGCTTGATCTTCTCGGTGAAGAAGAAGGGCAATCCGAAGAGAGTGTGGTATCCCTTTTTTCTCTGTGCCGTTCTCCTCGATATACCATCTTGCTCCAATATTTGTGCCAAATCTGTCACTCTTCACGAAACCTGTGACAGATGCTGCATCGCTTGCAGTCTTGGAGATTGTTCTCTCCCTCTTGCCACTTATCCCCACATTCGCTCCCAGGTACCCTGCGCTCGCATTGACCTCCCCACCCGCCGTGATTGACTCGGCTTGACTTGTGAACATACAAAGATGTTTTCCAACTGGAGCAATTTTATGTACCCGTGGCGCTTCCCCTTCCTCGTCAATGCTACTGAAGACAAAATTGATATCAGCCGATAGGATGCGACGCGTTTGTCCTTTGACATCGAAGTAGAAGTCGTATACAAGTAGGCTTGCTGGTTTGTTGGAATCGGGGTCCACAAGCCCGTGAATGACTTCACGGGAGATACACCGAACCAAAACTACTTTCTCACGGTGAGTAACAATTTCGCGCTGAAACTGATTCCCGAGGTTTTGTGTGCGGTAGCTACTGTCTTGCTCGCCGAAATGGCCTAGATCGATGCTGAAAGAGGTCTCGTCAACTCCGGCGACACTGCCTGGTAGTTCGCAAGGCACTGCGACTTTGAAAATGTCTGGGGAAGCGTTCATCATGATTGCTCTCTTGATTTTGTTGATGAAAACATTTTGTTTCCATTTTTGAAACTATCCAGCTGGTCCCCAATATTTAATGACTGAACCTGATCAGGAATTTCATGCATACAAGTGACAAGGGTGACTACCAATGAAATAACTGCCGATGAATGGAAAGCGAGCGGGGGTTTCCATTTATTGTTGGTACTGCAAGATAAGCAAACAGGATCACCCACAACAGAAGTTGACGCATATCAGTTTGAATATCCACGATGAGCTTCCCAAGTTATCCCACTCAAGAATTTAACAGTCGTGGAGACGACACTGACTCCAGCACTGAGTCTCTTAGCAATGATGACGAGGAGACAAATGTGAGCGACGTGCCACCAGTTTCACAGCTATTAGAGGAGGTTGTTGAGGCCCTCAGCAAAGGAAAGAACGAGGAATGGGTCACACTATTTCTCGAGAGTACAGATTTTACTCGTTATGAGCAGTTCGAAGATTACAAGCGCGGCGGCAAGCCCATTGGAAACCTGATTGAACTCCTCACGAGGATAACCGACGAGGGAAACAGCAAAAATCCAACCGCGTTACACTTACTTGCAACAGGAGATTTGAACGGAAAGCTGAAATTAGAGAAGAAGAAGCTATCGCAATTGGTTGGATTTTTAGTGAGGAATCCTAGAAATCTGCTTAAAGTGAAGGATAATGCTGGATCTACTCCATTGCACGATGCCATTAAAAATAAAAAAGGCGATCTGGTCGATTGCATTCGCCAGGCATGCCCTCCTGGATATATGGACGAAATTCTCTCGATAAAAAACGACAAGACGAAGAATTGTCTCCATGTAGCTGTCGAGAATGAAGTGCCATTTCTTCTGTCGCTTGTGGAGCAGGCAGGGCCTAAGACTCTGAGGTGAGCATAATAGGTTCACTAAAGTCTTTATTTTCAATACATGATTCTTTTCCATAATCTCAATCCCGATTATTGTATGCATTACACTCCAATTGCTTCCCAATACAGCTTTGGTATCTCACTTTCCCCAAAAATATTTTTTGGATAGGCAATTACTTACTCGCCGATCTTGCAGTGCCAGAGACGATAAAGGCAATACGCCGCTACATCTCGCTGTGGAATACCGACGTTGCAAACCTAATCAGTTGCAAGTGATACAAAAAATAATCGAGAAGTGCGACTCAGAAATGCAGGAAACCGAGGGCTCAGATAAGTTCAGTGAAAACCCCATGTACAACAATATCAAAATGTCACCTTATTCTTATCATGTGTTCACTACTCTCAACTATCGAGAAGAGAAGGCAAAAAAGGCCCTCGACAATGGCAGCAGTTCCACATCTGGCCATGATAAGAAGGGCTCATTTAAAGGGAGCAAACCCAAAACCTTGACTGCTTCGCCTCCCAAGCTCAGAAGCGATGCAGACTTTGTAGCAAAGCCTCTAGTTCGCTCCAATACACAGAGACTTTTAAAGGGAGAGTTCTCAGCTGAAAGGGGGTTCGCCGCTACAGAATCATTAAACGTCTCTTGGAAACATCCTGAAGTAAATGAAGCCAAAGTGCCACAGGGAGAAGAAATTTCGAAGTCAAAGTCTAAGTCAAAACGACCGAAAGACCAAGAGAGTCAAGCCCCCAAGAGAACGCCAACATCTGTCGAAAATGTAAAGACCTTCTTGAAACTACACTACCTGCGAACCCGTGGCCATGATGATGCCTATGCTATAATCCATGGGAGACCCCCAAGAGTAGGAACTGGTAATTATGCCCAAAATATCTTTCATTGGGCCAATTTCTTTTCTAGAGAATTTATGTGGTTCAATAGGTGAGAGATGAATAAACACTGCTAACACTGTGGCTATTAGACGTTCAAATATTTTTCGATCTTGGGGTGTATGAGAAAACGAAAATCAATAGCGACCAGCTTGAGAGTTTTTTCGAGAATCAGAAGTTTGATGACATCCTCCAGCGAGTGTCAGTTCCTGCTAGTTTCACTCTTGTAGAATCCGAAACTGCAGCCAATAGTGGAAGGATTCGAACCCCGGCTGCCCCATCGAAATCTTCAAGTAAAGGACTTTCTAATCTTGAATCCGTATTCGGATGGTTGCGAGAAAAAATGAAAGTAAAAACAATACTGAGTATCAGCGTCAAAGATCTGGATAGTCCAGCTCATAGTGACGAAAGCATTGAAAAAGCACTGGTGGGGTTTGGTGTCGAGACATGGGACTGGCAGAAAATAGACATTTCTACCGGCGTCATAGAGACTGTGGCTCCAGATGTACGAGTTGTACATCTTTACTGGAGCGGCAACAATGCTGTGCTTCGAGGTTGGGGCGAAGAGGGCGGACTTAAGCAGCTTAAGCACTTAGAAGCAGTGTATATCCACACACAACAGGTAGTTCTATACCCCATGAAGATACCAAGTATGCTCTTGCTGACTGAGAGTTACAGGATTATTTAAATTCCTACAATCGTACAATATCTGATATCGACTCATTCAAAAAACGAATGAAAACGTTGTGTGATAAGGTCCAAATATTTACAGACGGACCAAAGGGGCCGCGTAAAATTATAAGCCCAGGCGCAATGACAGCCAGTAAAGATCCCCTGCCACCATCACAGCACAATTGGATCGAATGCATGGATAAATTCGCACCGCTTGTTTTAGAGGCCGAAAACAACTTCCTGCTAGCTAACCCCGACAAGTCTACTGTAGTATTAGAGGAGCCCATTAGGGTAGCACTCATCGATGACGGCATCGACATTACTAGACTAAAGCATAAGCATAACGGAGGGCAAAGCTTTTGTACACGAGACCGAGATGTCGTTCCTTATTATATGTCTAGCTTTGGTCATGGACCAGCAATGGCAAGTCAAATATATCGGATCTGCCCAAGAGCTCAACTTTATGTGCTGAAGCTGGATGATCATCTGTACGGTGGCAAACGTCAGATTACAGCTTTGAGTGCCGCGCAAGTAAGTCGCCAAAAATTCTCCAGACCGGCATAACCTTAACATTTCCATAGGCCATTCGTGAGGCAGTGGCCAAGAAGGTGCATATCATATCCATGTCATGGACTATACCACCACCAGATGACAGTACAACTAGAGATCTTCTCCGGACAGCTATCTCTGAAGCTCTCCGGGAGAATATTCTTATGTTTTGTTCCGCCAGTGATGGGGGGCCAGTCGAGGACAAAAGCTTTCCTTGGACTGCAGCCAAGGGCAATATATTTCGGATCGGAGCTGCTACCGATAACGGTGTGGCCAGCTCTGACGTTGGCAATCCTACAAATTTAAGCTTCACGTTTCCGGGTGTCAACGTTGAGAGGAAGAATGTGGACAAAAAGGTCGAATACCAGACCGGCTCCTCTGTCGCTACTGCGCTCGCTACCGGACTTGCTGCCCTTGTGCTGTACTGTGTTCAGGTCAAATTGCTCCGAACTGAGGACAGGGACAAGGGGAGAGTCAGGCAGTCGTTCAAGAGACTCAAAGAATATGACGGGATGCTTAAGGCTTTCCAAGATAATATTGGCACGACTCCGGAGAGCAATAACAAGTACCTCAAGGTTTGGACCGTATTTAAAAAATACACCAAGAACATGAATGAGTCCCCGGATGAAATGATTGATCAGATTGCCAATCTCGGGGATGAATTATGTAGGAACATCTGACAGCCATGCGTTGCGAGAGAATTGTGCATTCGAAGATTTCCACTAGCTCAGTCGTTTCCAGTTCGACTCCTCGTCAGAGAGGTTCCTAAGAAATTTCCTTGAACTTCACGTCAGATTCCTCACTGGGTGATTTTGGGGTTCTTAGAATCTTTTCTTTCAAGGAAGAAATTTTTGGTGCAGCATCTAGTCTCAATACTCGGCGTTAGATCTGGGGTCCCATTCAATGTATCATGGAGAAATGTATTTGGTGAAGCTCCAGAATATAGACAATAAATAGTCCCAGCTGTATGTATTTGGAATATGATGTCGTGATTTCTGGAATTTAGAAGCTCTCATTTGATCAAAAGGGCTTGAAGGTTGAGGCTCTTGTTTTGATGTCTCCTGCAGTGCACTAGATGACCAACCGCCCCACAACTAACGGAATTTGCCCTCAAGATTTGCATCCATCTCAACTCCAGTTAAAGGAATAGAAATACACAATAAACGCCTCCAGCAATACAAAACGAAGCTGTGAATCTGTCACCTGGAAATTAGTCGGGGTCATGCGATTACCTGCGGTAGGGTCTACCTTAGTTGAGCTTTTTTCGGCCTTATTCATTCTGGCTTCGTGACAAAAGCTTCGGGCACACGTGCTACTATGGAAATCCAAATCCCAAAGGATAGGGAGATGGTGAGAAAAGGCCAGTGTTCCCGTACAGTTTTTCGGCTAAAAAGCTTTCTCTTATCTTTTCAAGCAGAATAGATCAGGGAAGGCCTTGTTTGTTTCGTATAAACAGCATATTGGAAATACAATACTTATTCATAACTATAATCAGCTGGCTTTTTATGGTACAAAACCAACGATATCGCACACGTCTATAAAGTCAAGGCTAGTTTGGATGTAAAATCCGCGCGGAATCTACTCAAATTGTTACGAAACGCACTCAATCGCAATGAGATCTCTCACGCGCGCGCATTACGCACGTGCTCAATCACGTGCTCACAGCTAGTATATCTGTGCGCTCTACGAGTGCTAGGCTCGAGCCTATTCGTAGGAGAAAAAACAGGCGGAATTTGACAATTCAAATTTTCATTGAAATCCTCTAACTTAATTGAATTAAAAATAATTCATAAATAATTTATTTAAATTCAAAGAGATCAAAAGAAATATCAGCTTTTAATTGTTTAGAAAATATTTCAAGTTTTTATTTTATATAATATTGAAAGGAAATAATTGAATTGTAAAGGATATCTTAGAAATGGTCGAATTCCGCCTGTTTTTTCTTCTACGAATAGGCTCCCAATTCTGTAGTTGTAGATTCTAAGGATAGATTGCAACCTGCTCTCGCAGTTTTTCCAAGGCAAATTGTTACAGATTCTTTAATTTGAGGTTGATTGATTTTGTTGAAAAATATAGCTTTTCTTGATGATTTACATTCTCCATATGAAGTTCTACTACACGGAATAGTTTGATCATAAAATAGCTTTTGTACTAGGTGGTATTTTGAGATTGATTCGATTGTTTAAATCTTTGAACGTTTATGCTTCTCGATATTTACGATTTTGAAGTGTCCCGTAAGTCTGTACACCAGTGGTCCGGGCTGGTAGTTATATTGATGGTAAGTTCGTTCTAATTGTCATAATACTTGTTCTAACTCTGATACGCAGATAGCGTATGTAACTTACTACCAGCAGCTAAGCGTTTCTTAGCTTGCGTGCGCAGTAACCATCATTCCAGCATCAATCAACAAGCCAGTTCCATTGACATAGGTAGCCGAAGGGCTACAAAGAAAAACGGCAACATTAGCTACTTCTTCTGGCGTTGCGGCTCTTCTTGCTGGTGAGACAGCCTGTATGACTTTTTCGAGTCCCGCCCAACGAGCCAAACTTCGTTCTAACATGGGGGTCTTCACCCATGAGGGGCAAAGCGCGTTCACACGAATTTCGTGCTTTGCGTTATCCAGCGCTATCCAGCGCTATCAAAGACATCAGTCGCTATACTCAAGAGGCTCAATATGAGAACTCACCAGCTACTTTAGTAATTCCCATCACTGCGTGTTTCGATGCAACATAAGCCATCATTCCCGGGCCTGCACCATATGACAATCCAGAGCCAAGGTTCACGATGCACCCCAAACCCAGCGAACGCTCATCCCCATGGCGGCCCTTGACCTTTCTCGATATCGGACGTTGGTGCGCGAGATATAGCTCCAACCTTCAATATCCGTCAGCATATTCACACGAACATAGTTTTTGCTTCACTTACTCCAGCACTATTGACAAAGTAATCAATCCGACCAAACTCCTCAATTGTGAGATCGACCATTGCCTGAACACTCTCTGACTCGATAGTGTTTACCTTCAAGGCCAAGGTTCGGTATTGAAGGTTGGTAGCGAATTCTTTACTCTTTTCTGCGCTCGCTTTGGCCCTCTCAATGTTGAGGTCGCAAAGATAACGCCTGAAGCATCTGCTTCAGCGAATGCGAAGCCAGTTTCTTCGCTGATGCCTGCTGCGCCCTGTGAGCAAGTGTATCAGTAATCAATCGATGATTGAAGATTCGACAGATCTTACCCCTGTAACCAGAGCTACACCGTTGACTGCTACGTTTGACCTGATACAGACAAGTTCAAGCAATTTAGTTTTAATAATGACTTGTGGCTTTCAAAGAACTTGTTGTTAGTGGGCTATAGAACTGTTGAGAGAACTAAATAAAACATCTTTAGTAAAAGTGCTTTCAAAAAAGAAAGCATAAAAGTTGGCGGCGTATGCTTTGGGACGTATTCCTGCTGCGATTTCATCAATTATTTGCGGCGTTGTACACATTTGAAGCAAGGCCCTCTTTTAGAATCTAAACGATGACTATATATCTATCCCTAGCTGTATACTCGTATTATTCGAAATATAACACAGCAATCTCTCGAACCTAAAAGCTTCATAATAATCAAATAATCTGATGAATATTTTACATTTGATCAAAAGGACCTAAAGGTTAAGGCTTTCATTTTAATATAGTTATTTATTCTTGATTAGATTCTTGAAGTTGAAATATAGAATAACGAGTCCCCCCCACCGCTAAACCGTACTAGACTAGATGATCCATCGCCCATAACTTACAAATTTTGAACATTGAAGTTTGCATTCACCATTTCCATACTCCGTAGTATTTTAAAGTCATCATGACTCCACATACCCCACCATGCTTACTTTATATTTTAAAACAGCGCAAAGCTCTTAACATAAATCAACATGTACCAGCGTTTGTGGTTTAGTGGTAAAATCCATCGTTGCCATCAATCTCTTCCTCATCAGAAGAGCGCGAAACAACTTCGATGGGCCCCGGGTTCGATTCCCGGCGAACGCATTTCTTTTGTTTTTTTTCCTTCCTGATATCACCCCACCCATCAATCAATGCAAATAGAGGGCATTCGTTTTAGATTTTTATTCATACCATCTTGGAACAACATGAATTTGGAAGTTGTGAAGAAGCGGGAGGGGGTGCTAGATGAGGAATACCATTGCCGCCATCATCATCCGTCTCTTTATCCCGATGGAAATCGACAGTGATGAATTGTGTACCTACTTTTATTTTTATCTGTACCTTTTCTCTCTACCTACCTGACTGGGTATTGCAATAACCAATAACCCAATTGCCAAATGTTTCGTGAAAGACATTTCAGATCTCAACAACCGATACGCAAGAAGACAGAGCGACGAGAAGAGAGATGATAGATAGACATACTTTCGGACATTCTCACTTCGTATTTACGACAATCAACAAGAGAGACCTCACCAATAGATGAATCAAAAATACTTTATTTATATAAAGAGTAGGTACCTAGGTATATCGACATATTTCAGCACCTACAAATGTGAAATACAAACTATAATTGATACTCACTCGGAAGCTTTCAAAAATTGAATGTGCATCAAATAGAAGCGAATGGGTTTAGACTTCTGAATTAAATGTCTTACCTACCTATCTATATATGTAATTAATAGTCAACTCTCATTAATGACCGACTACAGCAGTTTCTCGGATTCCACGTGGCCTTACAATTCTCAAATCTAATAACTAGACATTCCCTAAACTTTCGAAACACATATCAAATTCACTTTGAAGTAACGCTTTAGGATTTATACCGCTTTCATATATTGTACTGTATATAGGTATATATCAATATTATATTGATCAACTAAGACCAGACCACATAGATTATGATTCAAACACAATAATTTCACTTCGCAATAAGCACAATGTTCGATTAAAGAATCCATTCCATTATCATTCATACACCTCTAAACATCACCTCATTCCCTCCCTTGACTTCTATCTACTCCTCCTCCTCCTCCTTTTTCCTCTCCACCCAACAAAATACTTTTCCCCAAACGAAATCTCTCAAAACCCTCGTATGCCCTCTGGATCCAGGTCACAGCCTTAGTTATATTCCAACAAAGATTCCAGTAGAGATGAGGGTCTCCGCATAAAATGTATATGCGTTTTTCGATTCAATGAGGGCATCGTTTGTGTTGTGTGACTGCCTTGATTTCCCTATAATCCCCTATTCCATCGTCCACATTCCGATTGCCTCAGCACTCCTATTACCATCTCCAAGATTACACCCACCCATCTGTCCAAGTCAAAAAGGTATCAAGAACCCCCTACCACAAATGATATACCAAAAATTTCCATTCATCTCATCCAATAAACGCCGAGACCCGATTTCCAAGTGGTATCCTTCCTTCCATCCGCCTATCCATACCCTTTCCATCCCTTTATATGTGTACCGCCGGATGTAGCCCCTCTAATGCATCGCTCGCTCAACTTCGTTTGTCCACCCCCCTATATACATACATACATACATACATACATACAGAATTATCGGACAGATCTATTATCCTTCCTAACCACTCTTACAATAAAGAAAAGAACCAAAAACAAAATGCACTCTCTTCCTCTCCCTTTGGAACATCATCTCCCCACGCCAACCAAACTATATATCCAGCTTGCCTCAGGTACACTTCCCGCCTGCAGACACCACTTCCTCGTCCTCCCACTCACTCTCCCTATAGGTCCTACCATTCCTACCTCGCCATTAGGTCCCACAACATCCTCCCATACATTACACGTGACTCCCTTATTGCCGATCATGCTAAAGCAATTAGCACCTAGCACAACGTCTAACAGCACCTCCACCTTTTCATCTGGGTCCTCAGCTTTCATGGGTTTTCTAGTAACGAGAATACGGCGTTCAATGCCCTGGTCTACAGCACAAGCTTGACGCATTCCAGGTGGTGGTGCTGTAACAGTTAATCTTGCATTCCCGCAATCCCGCCACTTGGATCTTGTTTCTAGGTAATACAGGCGTATTTTAATATTCTCAGAGGTAAGATTCACACCACCATATGATGTCGAAGTACCTGCCAAACTTGCAGGATGGGGTGTTTGAGGTGGAGCAAGACCGGAGGAACTAGTGTACAGACTTGATGGACTAGATCCACGTCCTGATTCGATGGAAGACTTTGCAATATTAAAAAAGGAACTTCCTGTTAATCTTTTGAAGGATTCGGAAAGACGAGAAATAGACGGAGAGCTACTTTGCTCAGAGTTGACAACGGATGGTGCGCGTGTTGATGCACGATAGCTCTTCTTTCGTCCAAAGCTCAAGAAGCTTCGTTTTTTACTGGCAACCGCAGTTTCGTAAGTTGCACCACCATAGGAATTGAGTAGTCGTTCTTCTTCTAGCTTCTTATATGTTGGGTTGTTCATGCGAGCCTGATGAATTGAGTTGTACAGATCAACGCATGCACGGTTGTGTAGACTGTGATATCGGATGGTAGGGCTGCATTTGACTCGAGAATCACTTGTTGGGGGAGAATGGATTTCAATATCGAGTGAATTGCTTTGCCTGAGTGTCACAACAGGTGTGAGTACCTGACCAAGTAATGGTCGCTTGTCCTCGTTCGAGCTTGTATCTTCTGGACCTCCGACAACGGACTCTTGAATGGTTGAAAGAACTGCAGGGGAGGAATGCCTGGAAGACATTTCATGTACTTCGATTAATCCTGGACGAATGATAATGGAACAAGATTTCGAATGAACATCGTCCCAACGACCCTTAGCATTGTTCCAGGTTGTAACTGTAGCGACGTGCCTTCTAATATCTGAATTGTCGACCTTTGGTACGATTGGAATTCGAGGCGTAGAGTTCACAGGTGGCAAAGTAACATTGGGCAGACTGTACAGAGAGGTTGTAGGTGAAATGGCACGTCTGCCATATATGGTTGGAGCAGGTTCGGCTTCAGGAAGATCAGCAGCTTCAAGTTCGTCGAGCTCATCTAGTTCATCTTCATCCGAACTAGATGACGACTCTTCTTGTTCCGTGTCGGATTCTTCAGATGATGAGTATGACATTTCAGAAACCTCGGAAACCGAAACCTCAGATCTCTCAGACCTCTCCGATATATCAGATATATCAGAAGGTCGGTATTCATGTTTCAGTGGAGAGGAAGTGCGTCGAGACCTTGATCTTGGCGCTGGGGGCTCAATGATTATTGGTTGTTTGAGACCACTAGGAGACATTGAACGATGAGCTGGCGGTGGTGGTGGAGCACTCTCTTCTTCTGCAAAATCAGGGCTACGAGATCGTTCAGACATATCATCTGGATCTACTGGATCATACGAGGTACGGCGAATGTAATCTTTTGTAGTGGATTCGCTATCGATTGAGGCAGCAGAGCTTGTTTTGCGAACTTTAGGTATATGAGGTAATTCTTCAGAGGGTGTGAGGGGTCGGCGAGATGTTCTGCCTGGTGTAGATGCACGACTCTCAGATTCCTCAAAATCATCATTATCTCTGCTTTCTTCGTCCGAATCGTTAAGAACAAGTTGGCTTGACAGAGGTGAACTTGGCGTGGATCGAGTACGAGTATGAGAATGGTACCTCGAAGATTTGGAATGTCTTCTAGATGGTTGACCAGTAATTTCATCATGAGAAACATCTCGATGTCTCCGTGGCGGGGATGATGTTTCTTTTCGGTCTATCTTTAGGGGGGCTGGAATTTCTACAGATGACATAGTAGAGAAGGTTGAAGATCGTGGTCTTTCTTTTGAATGGTGCTTTCTTCTTCTTCGACGAGCACCAATTGGCAGCTCATTATCATCAGGATCGCCGGCCTCGCTTATTTCTGACGGATCCATAGACATCATTGATATTGTATCTGCGTTGTCTGGTATCGAGCTCAAAACCGGTTGAGGCATTGGGATAGACCCTAACATTTCTATCCACTCGGCAGCAGTCTCAGGCTCAGCACCTTTCAGAAGTAAACTCTCTCGCCATTCCATAGGTCTTTGTATCCCACGGATCATGATTATTAGCTCATCAGGCTTCTCACCAGCGCAAGCGGATATGAAATCTCTATCGATTGGTGGGAATAGCAAGTAACGATGCGTCGCTTCTGGTGTGATTTCTGATGCACAAATCAGAACATCACCAGGGTCAATTTCGTCTGAAAGATTATCCCGGAGTATCAATTCTACACGGCACTCAATTCTTTGGCCGTTAGAATGAGGAAAGTCGAGATCAAAGAAATCTTTAGCCGAGACTTGTCTATTACGGTCAATGTGAGCATCTTCAACTGGAGCAAGCGTTTGCGGATTGCGGGCTCGAGTCGCATCAGTATTGTTTGCATATAGATCTTCGAGTCTAGCGTGTTCTTCTTTAACACGACGACGAGCCGTTTCTTGCAAATCCTCAAATATTTTCAACGCTTTACCTGAGAGTTCAGAATGATTGAGTTTATCAAGACCCTATGATAAGTTAGAACCTAGCAAATGGATAATTCGTTGAATAGAGGTGATGAGAAGACTAAAATACGCACCTTTGTTAGTTTTGCAAGATATTTTATCCTGACAAGTGGCCTCTTGAGCAAGAAAGCGACATCAACACGTTCTCCATTTGAGTTCACAATATCTCCATCAGCATTGCGCGGGACACTGTCAAGAGGTGATTCTTTCTCTTCAGCAGACGATTTGCGCGAAGCTGGTGCTAAATTGACAACAACATCCTGGAAGCCTAATCTCCACGCACGAGTGTAGTCTTGGTAAGTTCGATGGGCTCGCTGGAGCCAGACTATGAGGGCGTCTGGATCTTGG